TTTAACTTGTAATTGTTCTTCTATGAAATTGAAGTGAAATAATAATTTTTCCCCTCCCAAAAAACTACATGGTATCAAAAAGCCAGTCAATCATCTAAGAATGACAAAAACTAGGAATAATACCTAGCAAAGGAATGGTTAAAGAGTTGCATTTTACACTAAAGAGCAAGACAAAGTCGGAAGATTGTGGAGATTGAAATAATTTGTGCAAGTGCTCTATTTGCTCATTGGTGAAAGGGATTGCATTCAAGTTAGCAGACGACTCCTGAGTTCCTTCAGCAGTGGCTTGATAAGTTTTACCTTCACGCTTGTATTTTAATTTCCAATTTACAGATTTTTTATAAAGCTTCTTGCATGTCTCCTTTGTGTGTTATGAATTTTTGTAATACTAACACCATGATATTTTTCATCATTCTTTGTAAGTATCAACCTCTTTTGACACAAGGACTGAGTTCTCCTGTTCAATATTATCAGAAATTCCAGTGTTGTTCAACATACTTTTTTCTTCTGAACTCTTGATGTCTAACTTCATAAAAGACTTCTAGAATTGAGAGTAGAGGTTTTCTATCAAGGATTTAACGTCAAACTTCATCTAACTCAGAAAAAGGTTAATGAAGAACAGGCAGACTCGATTGTTTTCCTCTTTTTTTTTTTTGTGGTGAGCATTGTCATTTGAATTCTCCCAAATTTCATCTTAACATTAATCAATCTTAGATATAAAATTACCAACTCATTGTAAAAAGTAGTAATATCATGACCATTTTGTTTGGATTTTTAAAGTAGTTTCCAACCCAAAAATGTATAAAAAATTCTCCAAATTTGAATAGAGATCTTGAACGGACTCCTAGATATCTAGAGCAATGTGAAGGAATATATGAGATTTTCCTATAGACGGTTCCATGAAATTGATAAGCAATGTCATTACTGGAGAATTTTCAAACTACCAATTCTCAGACTTAGATCATTAGCAGTAGATTTTGGGATTTTTCTGGCTAAATACCCAATTTTGCCTCTCTTATAGAGCACCAATTTAATAGATTGTGCCCACTCAAGATGATTGTGTCCGTTTTTATAA